AAACGATTAAAGATAGAGCCAAACGGACGAAATTTACGCCTAGAAGGCCTCGACTTTGATGAGTTACCCCTTCGGAAACTGTAAAAAAATATTTTTAAAAAACGTCATTTTTAGGACCTGTTGTTTTTGATTTTTTTTAAATCCAATTTTTGAGCTAGAATGCTATCTTCGAACTCGATCTGTCTTTTTGTGACTCAAAACTACCCTGAAAATCCCAGGGTGCTAGCTCAATTCGTTTTCGAGTTTTCGTGCGCACAGACAAACACACAGACAGAGACAGCCAATTATTTCGTACATTTCAACGCAAAAATGATAAAACCTACGAGGATCGCGTCGCTAGCGCTATCTGACGGCAAAATATAGCACGGCACACGGCTGGCACTGGCATACCAAAGACCTCCCGCAGCAGACGTATACAGGATGTTCATCATCCTGCTAGTCTCCCTAACTATGACATCCCCAGCAGGTTCTTTGTAGTACGTCCTGATGACATTCATACTGGCACATCCCTAGCAGATGCATACGTAACGTCTTTTCCAAAGACATGCTGGTCAGCACCCTGACTTAACCCCCTGAGGAGCAGCCCGACGGGTGCCCCTGAGGAGGTACTCGTATGTTACGTCCTGCCCGATGACATGCTGAGTAGCTCCTCGGCGGGACAACCCAAGGAGCTTAACCGCAGGTATATCCTGAGGAGTAACTTCTCAGTACCGAGCCCGCCGCCACGTTCAACCATGGACCGCTGCCAGCGACGGCCGGTGCGTCAAGCGGCGAGGAGTGCGTTCGACCACACGAGCCGCTGGTCGGAGGTAGGCAGTGACCGAGCCGATGGGCACGATGGTCGGTCGCACTGGGACGATTTTTCGACCTCTGATTCCCTGTAGCTCCCAAAGTAATGGAGCAAGACACTTAATTCCCTCGGGATCCTTTCTAAAGGTTAAAACTACACAGCAGCAAAAAAAAAAAAAAAAAAATCTCATCACACCTTTATCGACCCCAAAACCACGGTTTTCTGAAAAATGATCCATGTTTGGTAGGTTTACCCTAGTAAGTCAGCATTTGCGTGAAGGAACATAATATCGTCCACGCGGTGGCTGCCCAGTTTAAACCGCTGTGGACAAAGGATGAACGGCAACGACGAGAACAATCTCTCAACAACGGAGACTTGAGTGGCCGGAATGGCATGTGCTTCATACAGTTCTGGCCATGTCAAATTTTTACTCTACCAGAACTGTAACACGTCGGATTTGGGGAGGGACTTTGTGGTGGTGTCATACTCCTCGAGCATTGCCAGTAATTTGGCTCACCCAGTAGTTTGGGGTTCGACAGAACCGCCCGCATGACCACGTCTACTTCTTTGCCAAAAAAGAGGCGAAGGCATTCTCTTCCTCATCGCTGTCCTCGTTTTCTGGTGCAGGATCAACGGGTGCAGGCTCAACCTCGACTGCCCGCCTTGATTGAAGCTTCTGCCAGAGTTCAACAGGGTACTGTTTTGCCTCCTCCGTCCGCTCTGCCGACAGCTGGGAGAAGAACTGAGGGTCTGGGAACACGGAGGCATTGAAACTGGCCGGGGTTGCGGCAGCGCGGCGTGCCGTTCAGAAAGTGGGTCAGTCGCCGCGGGACTGGACGGTGCACTGTTAAAAAATATTGTCAAATTATCACACTCTTTGTGATGACAAGTTTGGTAAAACACAACATCATTTGTTTTCATCGGCACATGGCAAAATTCCTTCTATTTTGCCCGTAGTGGTCCATAACAATGAGTCCTACTTTTCACCATGTTGTAACACTACAACAAAACCGTTGTAAATTTTGATAGCAAGATGTATCGTTACAAAACGAAAAAGTTTGTGTAATTACCAAGTTTTGGTGCAGGCCGAAGTTAATAACCACTTTTTTGAAATGAAAATTAGTTTCAGAAAATTTGGTGAATGTCGTTGATTACAAAATGTGTTGTTTATTAACAACATTTGTTGCTATCAAACTTTACATCAAATGTGTTGTAAATTTACAGCAATTTTTTTAACAGTGATGCCGGACGAAAAAGTGAACGATTAGCAAAGTCAATCCAATACACACCGCAGACACCTGATGGTTTCTGGGTTTGGGGTTGGAGAAATGTGCTCTCAAAGTAGGCTAGCGCAGAAGTGTGTATTTCAGAATTAAAACAGAAACCTCCTAGCCTCGGTCGTGCCCCCTAGCGCTGGCTTGTGGCGGCTGCCTGAACTGCCTAGTGTGTGCGCGCGAACCTTTGAATTACATTGCAAGGCGCGTCACCACACAACACCGACCAGTAATTTAGTCGTCCTAGACTCGTTCTCTGAAATGAGCGCGGCGTCAGAAACTGGAGCTGCTACGCCGCCGCCTCTGCGGCCTCTGTGATCTTTCATTTCGTTTCTTGGTCGCCTTGGGGAGAGAGAACTAGTCAAGTCAAGAGCAAAAAATTAGGGGTGTCGAGTGTGGCGTCGAGTGTGGCGTCGAGTGCGATATAGTAATAGTATGTCCACCTTCCCCCGAAATAGTTCGAAATAAACTCGAAATAGAGCGAAATATGCGCGAAATAGTTGGTGAAATAGTCGCGAAATATTCCCGAAATACTGTGAAATACCGCGAAACACCCCGAAATAATGCGAAACAACTGTGAAACAACCGTAATGGCAGTAGAAATACCACGAAATAGCACGTACGGTACGAACCCAAGCAATTTACCCCACAGGTGGCGTCGGCCAGTCTGCGGGAATCCCACTTTTGTCCTATGCTGCTTCAATAAGCGGGTGGAAGGGATGGTCTGAACTCTGTCCTTCTACCGGCCGGGGAGAGGGGGGGCGGCTGGACATTCATAGTGACTCATTCGTTAGGTCTGCTCAGAACGGCGACCGCACGCCCAGTCAATACTCGTGAACCTAGTTCCGAGAGCAACGAGGCGTCCAGGCCGGGTCCTTCATCACAAAAAAGAGCTACTGATCTACTGTTAAAGGTTGAGAGTCAGTCCACACACGCTATGTTGTTCTTTAGTTAAAAACACGTGAAGTGCGGCGGCGGTAGGCAATTCTGCGTTATTGCGACCTACGGTGTGGGTCACGCCGCCCTCAACGTGTTACTGTAATTAAACTTCCAACGGCGTAGTGTGGTATACAAAATCGTTCATGTACTGTCGACTATTGTTCTAAGAAATAATAATGTGCCACTGTTAGAAATTATATCGTAATTTGACGAAAAAGGCCCTGTTTATTTTTCAACCATACAAACTCTACGTTATTTTTTAAGTAATAAACGAATCCATTCGTAAAAAATGAAGAACAGTTTGTTACTCGGTTGTTGTCCGAAAAGAACGATCCTAGACACAAGTATTTTTGAAACAAACATTCTCACGTCCTGATCAATTGGCACTATTAAATCGCGATGTTACGAATAGTTTGTTTTATACCGCTACGAACAGTTCGTAATCGAAATTTATCAACAGCAGCGTGTCTTGCGACAAGTCCTTGAGTTCCGAAGGGAGTTACGTACCGGGCGACTCGACCAAGACGATGAATCATAGATCTCAGTCGACTGCACTCGGCCGTTCGGGGTAGCCCCACTTACCACCTTCCCCCTCCACCCTCGAGCGGCAGGGAGCGGCCCGCTTGCGTGCGTCTTGGAGGGGGACTGACCCCTCGGAAACGTCCCCCCCCCCCTTCCCCTTTCGCTTTCGGACCGCGCTGCAACCACTGGCCGCCCCGGCCGGGCGCGAGGGGACGGGGCGCCCGGCAGGTGGGCAGGGGGCGGCCCCGCGCGCGCCGGAGTGCGGCGGCCGGCCTACCCCGCGCTCTGCAGGGGCCTCTGGGCCCGACCGACCGCGGGGGGAGCGGGCGATCAGGGCCGCACAAAAGGGCCACATGAGGTTCACAAAGGGACTTAAGGAGCCCGGGGGGCGCGCGTCCGGAGGCATGGTCGGACTGGAGACATGATCAATCACAGGTGTCAGAGAGGGCGGCGCTAGCCTCGTCCCCACCCCGCCCCGCCCGCCGGCGGCACACCACCTTGAACCGAACACCCAATAAGCGGTCGTGATGTGGCGCCTTTCGCCTCGCGTAAGTGCGTAAGGGAATGAACAAGAGAGGCGATCTGCCGACTGATTTCGAAGAACCCTCGCATATACCTTCCGTATAGCTCCATCCTTGTCGCACTCATAGAGCAGCGCCCGTTGAGGGCTCTTCTGAATTAGTCTGTTGGTGTGTGCGCTTCCTCGTAGTCGCCCTCCCTGAGACCCCCTCTCCTAGTCCCCTCCACTCTCCCCAACCTCCCGTTGCCCCGGGCTGTCCGGTCGGGGCCTGGGGTGGTTTTAAATCCGGCAGCGCGGTGCGGCCTACTCGGCTAACAACCCTCATTTACCGAGTCTGAGTCTGCCACGCCTGGCCGTTGCCGAGCATTAACCGGACAAGTGCGGGTCGGTTCAGAACGGGCCTGGCTTCTTGGGCACTTTATAACAAAGCTATCAGCCGTTTTTGTTTTGTTTATTGTTGTTATTTTAACCGACGTATACACATAGTGAATACAATTAGATACATGTTTCGCCCGTTTTGTGACACAAATCCAGACAAATCCGATCCTGCACCTAAAAGGTGCCTACCTTTGATCATTATGCAGACAGACAGGCAGATTTTGGGCCACTGAAAGAATATGCTTCGCTATCGAGCCGACAAATTTTCAGCAGTCCTTACCCACGGCCTCCTTTTCCCACGAAATCGCCACCTGTCAGTGGATCGGAACTTCCTCCTCGAGCGGTGGCGGGCCCTGGCAAGGCGCGGAGGGCGCGGACGTCTTGGTTGTTCCGATTTGCCGCGCCCGCCCGCCGCCCCTCCCGCCGGAGGCACCACACCCTACCCCCACCCCGCCGCACCGCGCCGCGCCGCGCCGCCGGCCCGCGCCCGCACAACAGCACACAGGTGAAGCACGCGGCCGCGAGGCCCGGCTCTGCCCTGCCGCCGCACAGTCGCTGCCCGGCGCGCCTCCCGCCGGCTCCTCCGCGCGCGCGCACCGCCCGCTCCGGCCGCGAGGCATCCTGAGGAGGCTCGGACTGTCATGTCAAGCGATGTCAAATAGGAGTGAAGTGCGTCGCGCAGTGCAGCAGGGAGGACGACGACGTTGACCGGCGCCACAGCAGGTCAGCGATATGTCAGGCGTGCCGAGGACCATGCGCCCCCGCACTGCTACTCGTCAGGACGGCGTCCCGGACGACCTGCTCCGCCCATTTGGCGGCGATGGAGCGCGACTCAACCTCTGGTAAATACGCTACTTACTGGAGGCATCTTCAAAAACATATCCTCGTAAATTTACGACATTTCTTGTAATTTGTATTTATAAAATATGCTGTAAACTAGCGACAGCATTTTCGCTTGTCAACAACATATTCGAAGTCGATACGAGGTGCTCGTAAATTTATTATTTCAAAATTATCATTTTACTACACATCATGTATAAAATTTTCGAGTAAACGTACCGACTATTTTTCACAGTGGGTGCTGTGGTCGTAGTCATTTGACGCCCATCCACCCCAAGTAGTGCACTCAATGCATGCATTGATCTTTCCGTGCGCACGAAATGCACGTGCCCGATCTCTCTTTTGCACGCAGCTGCATGCGGACTTTGTGAACGGAGAATATATCGAAAATTGTCTAATTTAATGAAACGGTCTGCTTAAAATGCTCAGTAAGTGATTGTGTGGCTGTCGAATTTACAGTCAGAAAGGTGTGTCTATTCCGCCGTTTACAATCATTTTCGTTATCGATGTGATTTGGACACATATCCAATCTAGCGGTGCACGCGCTCGCTGGCTACCCCCGGTAAGGAACGTAAACATGGCCCGGGGGTGGCCCGCAGCCGTGCTGCCCCCGAGACTGCCCCCGAGGCTGCCGCGCTCAGTGGTGCAACCTCGCGCCGCCGCTATCAGTGATCGCCGTGCTCTGCCGCCCCGAGCCGCGGCACAACCCGAGGGGAATCCCACCGATAGACTGGCCGGTACCGGTCTGCCAAACCACGTGGCGGCCCTCGAAGAGGGGGGGAAGGGGGAGGGGAGTTCTCACCTCACGCAATTCTAGAGAGGGTGGATCGAAAAGTGATGGGAATCCTCCTGCTCCAACCTTCTTCTGGGGGGGTGTTGGGTGTTGGTCACGTCGTCAAAGAAAAGATGGAGACAGGAAAACGATTTCAAAAAATTGCCACCTTAATGTGGTTGTCACTTATACTGAAAAAAGGGTGTACAACGGGCATGTATATAGTTTTTGACTGTATGGCGTGCACATATAGCTTCGTGGTCGAAGCTGAAGTCCAACAGTAAGTTGAAGTTAGTATTTAAATATCCAGTCATAAACTTCAAGACGTGCAGCTTAGAGTTGGGCACTTGCATGAGCATGCCATTAGTTGCACACTTTATTTATCAGTGAATTGCTGTGTGCTCCGAGGTGTGCTCCCCCTCTGCCATCCCTATCCAAACGCGTTGTAGGGATGCACCAGACGGCACGAGCCGTTCTGGGTACGACGCCACCTCCCACCCCTTCCTGTTATTCGCTTCGCATCAACACCCCAACCGCCTGAAATTCCTCCGAAAACTAAGAGTTCATCCACAAAGTAAGTCCGTCATTCCCCGTTTCGAATCTACCCGGTTGAGTCCGTGCCGGGGCGTACAACCTCTGCATAACGCCGGATAGATAGGCAGCATATCGCCTGTAGTGCATTGGTGTACTGCGGGGTGGCCTACGCCGAGTCTTGCAGGCGCCGACGCCGAGCTCCCAATTTGCCAAATGAACCTGAGAAAAGACGGACGTACTTTCTGGACGATTCCCTAGCGTACGTTTGTAATCTGATGTGAGGTCTTCATGAAAATCAAAGTACAAACCAAAGAGGTCGAAAGAAGGGAACTTAGTTGAGCAACTGTTCGGTCCATTCAGAACAACAATCCGTATAGACAACCCCCTCCCATCGTACACGCCACTAGTGCTGCTTCGAACTCAAACGATGGATCTACTAGCAAGGCCCCTCGTAAGACTGTTCTTGCATGATTGATTGAGTTCGATTGGCCTTCAGCCGCAAAGCCTGACGCGTCGGACAAGGCCGTCCGCGCGGGGTGCAC